CCTTCCCAAGAAAGATGTTCAGCACTTGAGGAAGTTACACATCAGCTCATAGGAGGAAGAATTTGCTTACCATTTTACTGTTATCAAAATATTTTGAAAATCTGTAGGGTGCAAATGAAAAACTGGTGATCATGGAAAGAGAAACAAAATGCAGCAATATAGGAAGTAATATGATACAACAACGATGATGAACCCTGTTAAATCCCACCATAGTTATATGATAATGGTTAAGTAAAAAATTGGTGTTATTCCTATCAAACCAATCCATAACTTCATGCGTGTTTTTCTTAGTCCACAAGTATTAGCAAGACTAACCGTCCCAGCAGCATCAGTTTCATTGAAGTGAACTGGACCTCTTCCAACATTCCAGACAGCACTTGATGATAGAGGCGAACTGGAACCATCAGGAAGAAGCTCATGACAATACTTTGACAATGTCTTGTAGCCCATGTCCCCAAGATTGATCAATCCAGAAGCAAGTTGTTTACTTGATTCCATGGCGTATCTAGCTACAAGGTTTCCATTGCCTGGAGATGTAGATGGGCTAACACCCTGAGAAGGACTAAGACTTTGTGGACTTAATCGTCCTGTGTTTGCTATCACTGGGTTGTTTGAGGAATAAGCTAACCACCTTGGCCCTACTGCCATTGGGCCATAACCAATATTGACTCCCATAAAACCCTGACTCCCTGGGTGAGGCACAGGATACGTGAGAACACTTAACTTGTTCTCTAGAGTGATCGCATCAAAGCAATATATCTGTCATTAAAATATTAGAATGTTCAGGATATAGAAACTCATATCCCGAGAACAGATTTAGGTTACTGAGCACCGAGTCAAATGCAGAGTACACATCAATTCTTTGAATCGTTAGAATGAAAAAGTAAAGAAGTTCACCTGTGTCGCAAGGCCCACAGCAACTATCTGTGGACTAGATCTAACCATATAAACAGTAGACCTGAATCGCAATATATGAACATAATTGTGGGACCTTAGAGAGTAGAATCTTAGAGTAGATGCAGTAGGCATGTTAACAACGTTTCCAGCTTGAGGCTCAATGAATCCATCCCTCTTGCTTTGTCCTGAGACGGATTGAGCTGCTTCACCACAAGCCACCACCAAGAGCATGGGATGTGAATTTCTAAATCCCTCACAGCCATCAGACTTCGCAGGGATGGGCTGCATCTGTAGAAATGTTACTGGATCATCCCGATGAGAGACAAGTTCACATACATTAGAAGCATCTTCAACATCCAAGACTTGAAAACCATTGGAATAGCCAATTAGCAGAATGTTTTTGAATGATGAGGGGCCTAATTCAAGTTTGTCAAAGCAAGCCCACAAAACCTGTTTGTCAATGTTCAAACCCAAGAGGACAAAATTATAATGAGAACACAAAATGACTTCATCATAAATATAATAAAGGTATTATTCATCGAAACCATAAAGAACAAAAAATCTGAAAAATAACGATAGACGATACCCATAAAAGGCCCTGCGTAGATGAGGCCCTTAAAAGGCATTAGACGATGAGCACTAAGCACTAAGCACTAAGGCTCTAGATAATGTTTGTGAGTTTGTGAGACACTTGGCAGTGAACACTAAGTCTATATAATAATGTTTGTAAGATGCTTAGGACTAAATGTGAGTAGGGGAAGTGGACTAATGAAGTGCTTAGTGGGCAGGGACAAGGTTTTTAGTGAATACTTCAAATGAAGATACACATACCTGCCTTGGGGAAAATATCTTGCCAGGAATGTTGTGTAGAGAGTAGAAGACTGAAGAGTAGAAAGAGGAAAAGGTTTTAAAAGGTTGATGTGTGGAGAAGAGGTTGCTTGGAAAAAGATGGGGAGTGCACTATTACATGGTTTATGATATTTTTAAAAGAAAAGTATAACTCATATTGCTTTAACCTCAGCTCAGACTCATCAATAACTTCTCCAAAAATGCTATTAGGCAGGCCTCATTGCTAGGCTTCATAATGCAATTTCGAACATAATATTAACATACTTTGATGGGCATGTATGTGATATGTATAGAACCCCATCAATAAAGAGAAGATATAGCAATCTATAGCTAATTCTACTATAAGAAACAATTCAATGCACGGATAACTGATACTTACCCAGGCATTATGTTACAACTTACAATCAAATAAAGCTAAGTGTACTAATAAAAGTATACTGACCTAAATCCATATAAAACATTACAAAAAATAACTCAATATGGAGGGTTGAGCACTAAAGTGAAAGAACTAACAAAAGCCAACACTCGACAAAGTCATTATAGCTATGCCGGTCAGATGTCTGTGCGTAAAGTTCCTTTAGTGAATATCTATCTAATCCTCGAGAAGGGCCATTCTACACTCTGTGAAATTAACTTGACGCAATGTGTAAAGTTAAATGTCCCAAAGCAGCAAATTTTATAATAATGAACACAAACAAGCATGAAATTACACGGAGTAAAAACCAACAACAGCCGACGAAAGGTTACAGCATTCTGAATAGCATAAGCTAGACAGCCTAGAATATCACCATTTTCCAAACAAAAATCGAAAAAATTAGCACTACGTACAACAAATTAAATCATCGGAGCTATGAAGTGCGTAGGACCTGGTCTTTGTGATGATCATCCAATTCAGAGGCAGCAGCCGAGATGGAGCCTGCTACAGAGGCTCCAGCACATCGCACGTTAGAGGAAACAGTTTTGATGCAGGAGGATATGAACTTGAAAGAATTAGGAAGAAAGCCATTTGTAGCCCCATTCTTTGCCTTATTGTTCACGCTATTATTGATACTTTGGCTTTTCTTCATAATAAACCGGAAGAAAAACAAAGAAAACTTCTTCAGAGGTCTGGCCGCAGAGGCAGCAGTTACCGGATGGAACTAACACAAAATTGTGTATCTGCTTTCCGGCGTTGCTGTTTCTGTTGGTATCAGTACGATTTGTCGGTTCCGCCTCAGCCTCTGTGGCTGTCTCCGGCCGCCGGTCGCCGCCGAGCGACGCTGCTAACGTGAGTTGAAGGTCAGATGATAAAGCATTAACCAAAACGGAGAGCACGAACGGGAAATTTATTGATTTCTCCAAGAGATTGGTTTTATGGTTGTGAGTTTGACCTTTTGAACTGGAAAACGTTTCCTCTCTCTTCTCTTCTCATTTCACCGTATTGCCTTCTCATTCTCTCTCTTGATTTGGGAGAGTCCCTGTTAACTGCGGTGGAAGCCAATCCAAATATTTTTCAAAAATATCGGCAAAGACCCAAACATTTCTTCAATTATATTTTCATCCAATAATTATTTCCACCTAAACTACTTATTTTCGAAAACAAGAAAAATGATAATTCTCAATTTACTCCTCCAAGTAAGAATTTGTATACGGTACAATCGGCTCGATTAAAAGTAAGACACATCCGGGTAGTACTCAATTTGAGAAAGTATTTTTTCTCGCACAAAACATAAGTGTTTATTTTGAAATAACATAGTACTCATTCTGTGATATCGTTGTACTTGTTCTGAAATAATATAGTATTCATTTTCACACATTTGTTCAATACAATTATAATACTCATTTACGAATAACGTAGTGTTCATTCTGAAACAAAATGGTGCTCATTCTCAAATAAGTAGCGCTCATTCTCAAGTAACATATTGTTCATTCTCTTCATATTTGAAAAATGTAATCTAATAGTCTAATTAAAACATATAGTACTTCCAATTAGCATGGTCATCATCATCGCTCGCATAGTATCTACATTGTCAGTGCTATAAATCTCGACGAGGCAACTTCTTCCACAATCAACGCAGCCACGGTTAGGGATTTCTCTGTGCTCCTTTCGTTCTCCGATCGGCGCAGCTAGGGTTTTCCACCGATGTGCTCCTTCGTTCTCCTAGTTGGAGTACGTCATCACCCCTCTCTTCGTTTCCCGTCAAATGTCGCGTTGCTCTGCTAATTTTTACTGGCTGTGCGATTCTTCTCGTACAACCAGATATAGGATATCATATGCGTCCGAGTAACACCGATAAAAATAGTGTTAAAACTTATAATAATTTATCAAAATGGTCCTTTTTAATTGTACATGTTAAACAACAATAATAATAATACGATTACTTATGGTAGTGCTTGATTATTAGTTATTTTCCTATTCTTATTTATGATAGGATGTATTTTACTTAGTTTTCATTCTTTATTTCTAGTTGTGTTAGATTCTCTTTTATATATTCTCTATCATATACTCCATAATTCAAATAAGCAATATTATTATTTCAATATTCCAACATGCTATCTGAGCCACCATTCTTAGTGACCTAAAATTTTTCCCCTTCGCACCTGATGGGTGTATTCCACCCACGACCGGTCAAAGGAGAAGACCAATTAGTTGACCGATCAATCTCGAAAGTTTTGAAGGGAGACTTAAGTCGTCAGCAAAACGATAAATAATCGGCCAAAAGATGACCGGTATACTTCACGAAAAAGTATACCGGTCAAACTACGTTGTCATGTTATTTGTTCCCAGACTTCGATGAATTCACCCCTCGGAGATTACCCGTTGTAGTTTCTAGGGTTGGAATCTACGAGGGCTTGGCGTGTAGCGACCCATGTCAGTAGAGGACAACTGGAGATGCTGAAGAATCCATCCAAGGCACTACTCGACAAAGAGAATAATCCCCCTCACAAGGCGACAAGGCAGCTCAAGGACGAAACCAGTCACCTCGCACCACATCAGCATCGTGCCCCCACGTGGGCGCACGTGGTCCTGTCCCCTTAGCCTAGTATAAATACTCATGTAAACCTCAGAAAGAGGGATCCGAATTCATTCTCTCTAAACTCCCTTGTAAAAGCACCCGTGTATTCTCCGTTATAATATAAATTGGGCTACAGGTGTTCCACCTAAAGTCCTACCGGTCAATTTGCGTGTTTTACCTTTCTTACTTTGCCAAATCAAGCAAACTATTCTAGACCCGGTTTAGTATAGTTTGACCGGTCAAGTAATTTACACCATCATTTTTGGCGCCACCCGTGGGACAGTTAAGGTTTCTTCTCTTCTAAAACCTACCCACAAGAAAACCACTCGAAATGTCTTCCAGCCAACAGATCAACGCTATTTCCGCTCAGGTGCAGGCCACCAATAAGGGTGCCAGCATCCCAGTGGCTGCAACCATACCGTTCATTTCAGCCCCGGTGTTGCTGAGCTCCGTCCCAACGGCCAGCGTGATCAGTCCCTTCGCGACCCCCGTCCCTTCCGCTGGACCGAGGGTAACGTTCCCACCAAGCATGACTCAGTTCATGAATGACCCAGCCAACCTACAAGCCATCCAGGGCTTTGGCCAGGTCATGGCCATGTGCCAACAGAATGGGGGGATGCCTTTTCTCCCTGGTATGTTCCCGTTCGCTCTTCCAGGCGCGGGGACCATGCCCCTACAAACTCCGATGGCGGTGACGTCGTTCCAGACGCCGATGCCGCAGCTATCGCCTTTCCAGCCCCAGCTAGTCAGCACCATGGCCCCTGTCAACTTGACCGACGCACTTAACGCTGCGGGGCCGTCGCGTCCCCCGCAAGCTACGAATCCGCAAATCACTCCTGATGGTCATTGCGTCTCAATTGAGAGCGATGACGGCGAGTGGGACATCCCGAGGGCCCACAAGAAGAAGAAAGGAAAAAACATCCGGCCAGCGACCTCCCGAAACTCCGCCTTCGAAAGGCTAGGGGATAGGGAGGAAGGCCAGAGGAAGTCAGCCAAGCAAAGGCTGGGGCAGAGCGTTGCCCATGTCAGCGCGTTCGCCTAGCTAGGCGAGGTGCGGGAGGCCGAGCCTGCCCGCACCCGGCGCTCCCGGTCTAACCGGCAGGAGCCAGCGAGGACGAGGGCCTCTCGTCAAGAAGAGGAAGCAGAGAGCCAGCCCAGGTTACCGGTGGCGAACCGGTTGACCATCCCAAATGACCGCGTCCAGCAGATGGAGGTAAAACTAGAGGGGCTGAAAAAGAAGGTCGGGGAGAAGAATGACCGGGAAAACTAGAGAGGCTGGAAAAACCCTTGGCGGGGTCCCCGTTCACCACAAGGGTCCATCTGACACCTTTCCCGCGAAAGGTCAAGATCGACGCCCCTAGGTTCACCGGGAAGGAAGATCCGGAAATCCATCTGGACTCCTTCAACCAGAGTGCAACCATGAACGGTTGCATCGATGAAGAAAAGTGCCTTCTTTTCTTCCAGACCTTGCGGAACCGAGCCACTGAATGGTTCAATAAGCTTCGCCCGGGAAGCATTGATTCGTTCAGTGATTTGGCCTCAAAGTTCAAGGCCAAGTTCCAGGAGAAGAGAATTGTACTAAGAGGAAGAAATTCACCTATCTTAGTACAGCCGGGCAGAGGGAGTTTGAGAACCTTACTCAGTTCCTTACCCGGTGGAAGGAAGAGGTAGACAAGGTGGAAGAGATGGATGAAAAAACCGTCTTATCCCTCCTCTTGAATGGCTTGCGCGCCGGGGAACTATACAAGGAGTTCTGCCGGAAACCCCCAGCCATGTACCACGAGGCCATGTACCACTGCATGGGAGTTTGCTGAAGCTGAAACCCAGCTCCGGGCAAAGAGAGAAGCTGAGCATGGTCACAAGTCCAAGCCGGTGCAAGTCAAGAAGGAAGAAGCACCGGGACCTAGCCGGCCGAGCGTGGTGATACTGGGCCAGTAGGCTCACCAGTTATGCCTTCTTACGGTTCTTCAGGCCTGTCGTGGCCAGTAAGGAGGTCTTTTGGGATGGCCAGTACATCCCGTCGTCACCAGCCCGTGGATAACAAGCATGGTGTCCAGTCTAAGGGTATTGTGGAGGCTTACGTTTTCACAATTCCCCCAGTAGGCCGTCTACTTCGACAGTGGAGAGCTGGGCAAAGGTTACTTGCAGAAAGCCCAGGAGAAGAGTCATCAATGGGTTAGGCCAACTGCCCCAGGGGATGACCGGGACAACGACCGACGGAGGAATAACCGGCCAAGGGAGCGGCGACCCGCTCCCGAAAAAGAGCACATCGGCATGATCTTCGGCGGACCCGAGGGTGGAGATTCAGCCGCGCAGCGGAAGAACTGGGTCCGGAGCATTTACGTTGGAGAGGTAAGTGCTGAACCGCCCAGGCGTAAACATACTAGGAGGGAGCCAATCGTCTTTACTGACCGGGATCTCCCTCCTACCGGTGAAGATCACAATGATCCATTGGTCATCACCATGGACATTAATGGGGTGGATGTCACCCGGGTACTTGTTGACACCGGCAGCAGTGTCAACATCTTATACCTGGAGACCTTCCAAAAACTCAGGTTGTGTCGAACACAATTTGAACCCCTCAAAACCCCTCTCTCAGGCTTCACGGGAGACACCATTGAAGCTGAAGGATCCATAGTTCTACCGGTCGAACTAGGATCAGGTGAAAAGACCGTGTGGAAGAAGATGAGGTTCATAGTTGTGGACATCAAATGCGTCCACAACGCAATTCTTGGAAGGCCCGGCATCAATAGAGTCGGAGCGGTGATTTCCATGCCTCATCTATGCATGAAGTTCCACACTCCAGGTGGTGTGGGTGAAGTGAAGGGCAATCAGAGGAATGCCCGGGAATGCTATGCCCGGGCAGTCAAGAAGATGACCAAGGGGGTCAATGTCATCTCCCAAGAGATCACAAAGGGAGAGACCCGGGAGAAACTGGAGCCCGAGGCCGAGACGGTGGAAATCGAACTTCACCCGGGTGATTCGTCAAGGATGGTCAGAATTGGAGCAAATCTCCCCGAGGATCTCAAGGCAGAGATCACACGGGTCCTTCAAGAATACGCGGGCATATTCGCATGGAGCGTGGCGGATATGCCCGGAATAGATCGCTCTGTTATCTGCCACCGGTTGGCCGTGAGGGAGGGAAGTCGACCGGTACGCCAGAAGAAGCGGTACCTGGCTAGTGACCGGCGAGATTTCATCAAAAAGGAAGTGAAAGACCTCCTCAGTGTTGGTCACATCCGGGAAGTCAAGTACCCGGATTGGCTGGCCAACGTTGTCCTTGCTCCCAAGGGCAACACGTGGAGAATGTGTGTAGATTATACGGACTTGAACAAGGCTTGTCCGATGGATTCATACCCCCTTCCCAGTCCAGATCAAATGGTGGACGAAACTGCGGGGTGCGAACTCCTAAGTTTCATGGATGCTTTCAAGGGTTACCACCAAATCTACATGGCCAAGGAAGATGAAAAGAAGACGTCATTCCTCACACCTGAAGGAACCTACTTCTACCGCGTAATGGCGTTTGGCTTGAAGAACTCGAGGGCAACCTACCAACGCATGGTGAACAAACTCTTCAAGCCACTACTAGGAAAGACCATGGAAGCATACGTCGACGACATGCTGATCAAAAGCCAGGTATCTCTCAACCACCCGGCAGATATGCGAGCCACGTTCGATATCATGGCAAAATACAACCTCCGGCTGAATCCTAAGAAATGCGTCTTCGCGGTTCGTACTGGGAAGTTCTTGGGATTCATGGTGACCAAGAGAGGAATAGAGCCCAACCCAGAAAAAATCCGGGCCATTACTGAAATGCAAGCCCCTACCTCCGTTAAGGATGTTCAAAAGTTGACCGGCCGTCTAGCGGCCCTTAGCCGGTTCATTTCCCGGTCAGCGGAGAGATCCCTTCCCTTCTTCAAAGTCCTGAAGAAGGCCAACACATTTGCATGGGACGAGGAATGCCAGAGGGCATTTGAGGAGCTGAAAGAGTACCTAGCGTCGGATATTGTATTGTCTAAACCCAAACCGGGTGAAACTCTGTATCTATACCTGGGAATTTCCCCAAATGCTGTAAGCTCCGTTTTAATAAGAGATGATGGGGCACAAAAGCGCATTTATTATGTGAGCAAAGCACTAAACGGAGCTGAGAGTAGATATACGGCGATGGAAAAGATAGCCTATGCGCTTTTCATCTCCGCAAAAAAGTTAACATCCTACTTCCAAGCTCACCCGGTAGAAGTCTTGACTGACCAACCGTTGGGTGCAGTGTTGCGAAATTCAACATCCTCCGGGAGGATGGTGAAGTGGGCGATGATGTTAACTCAATTCAACATTGAGTACCGGCCAAGGTCAGCAATTAAGGGACAGGCCCTTGCTGACTTCCTAGTAGAAATGACCGGTCTAACTCCAGATTTACCGGTCAACAAGCCCACTGAGCAATGGTGGGAGATAGCAGTTGATGGGGCATCCGGTCCTAGAGGATACGTGGGTGGTATCGTGTTCACCACCCCAGAAGGGTTCAAGATCTACCATGCAATCGTCTTCAACTTCAAACTGACGAACAATGAGGCAGAATATGAAGCTCTGGCTGGAGGGCTCAGAATTGCCCAAGCCCTGAAAATCAGCCGGGTCAGTATCAAATCTGACTCTAGCCTGATCGTTGGGCAAGTGACCGGTAACATGGAAGCAAGGGAAGGACGCATGGCACAATACAGGGACCTTGTACTTGCCCTGTTGAAAGGCTTCGAAGAGTTCAAGATCGCCCAAATTCCTTGGGCGGAAAACGCGGATGCAGACCTTCTCTCCAAATTGACGCAGTATGCTCCCGAGCATGTTTCAAAACTTGCCCGGGTAGAGATCCTTGACCGTGCAAGCATCGAAAAATTGGAAGTCGCCGCTATAACGGCCAGAAGCCAATTTGACCGGTCAAACTTGGTCGGGGCGGACGACCATTGGATGTATGATCTGATGGAATATTTGATGGATGGGAGCTTGCCAGAACAAGATGACCGGGCAAGAAAAGTGAAGCTCAGGGCACCCCGATTTCAGGTTCTTGATGGAAAACTGTATAAAAGGGCATTTGGGGGGCCACTCCTGAGATGTCTAACCAATAGGGAGGCTGAACGAGTCATAGCGGAAGTCCACGAAGGCGTATGCGCGGCGCATCAAATGTCCCGTACGCTTTCCCAACGCATCATCTTGTTGGGGTATTACTGGCCAACAATTGTCCAGGATTGTGAAAGGTACGTTCAGAAATGCAGGACGTGCCAAGTATTCTACAAGTATTCTGGTAGACCGGCGACCTACTATCACCCTGTATCAAACGTCATCCCATTCGCTAGATTCGGGGTTGACATCATCGGAGCATTCCCAGTTGCCCAAGGTGGGAAGAAGTTCGTGATCGTAGCCATCGATTACTTCACCAAGTGGATCGAGGCCGAAGCATTGGCCAACATCACCACGCAACAATGTAAGAAATTCATTTGGAAGAACATCATCACGAGGTTTTGAGCGCCCATGAACCTCATCACCGACAACGGCCCACAATTCCGAAATCCAAGATTCACCGAATACTTGGAGGGCTTCGGGATCAAGCACAATCGCTCTTCGGTGGCGTACCCCCAAGGAAATGGCCTTCAGCTTTTGCGGTTGTCTTGATAACATCTACCAAACTTCTTTGCCGACCCTCTCCGTCCTTTGTTCACCGAGGAAGAGCTCCCACACATCGTATGGGCATTCCGAGTAACACCCAGGAGGGCTCACGGGGAAACTCCATTCTCCCTAACCTATGGGTGTGAAGCAAGGCTGCCCATCGAAGCTGAATTCCCAACGTTTCGGGAATCAAATTATCAACCCCAACAAAATGAAGAAGATCACTTGGCCGAACTCAACTTGGTCGAAGAGCGGAGAATGGCCGCGGAAGTTAAAATGAGTACGTACCAACAAGTTGTGAAGAAGTACCATGACAACAAGGTGGGGCCGCGGTACTTCCAAGTTGGGGATGAAGTCCTACGAAGAAGAGAATCAAGTAGACCCGGTGATGGAGGAAAGCTGGCAAAAAACAGGGAAGGCCCATACAGGGTTAGAGCCATCATTCGACCAGGAACGTATCGGTTAGAAACTTTAGATGGTGTACCGGTAGAAAGGACTTGTAATTCCCACCATCTTCGCAAGTTCTACAAATGATTGTAATACTAGGCGAGGCCTAACCACATTATCAATCAAAGTGATGTTCAATACTCTACTTAGTAGCGGCAGAATTGATAGGTCGAACCTATCCTAGGAGGGCTTCCTGGGTGGATCGAATCCACTTGGATAAGCCAACTGAGACACAGGCCCGGACCTGGCACGCTGGTTACTACACCGGTCTTGCTCAGTATAATAGAAAAAATATTAAAACCCGGAAGAGGGGCCCGGAAGAGGGTATGCCTGCAAGAGGGCTGGACCTGGAAGAGGGTTCGAACCGTACTTACACGGGCCCATGAGGTTTGACTGGTGTCGGGGAATCAGCCGGCGCCGACAAATTGATTGGGGACTAAAAGATGCCCATTAAAAGAAATAGAAGGGGATCGTCCACCGTGGCGCATCCTGTTTCCCCCTTCTCAGGGAAGACTTGAACGGGAGGGTGAGCTAAGGCCTTCCCGGGATGGTAGAAATCAAAGGGCCATCAAAAGACTTAATCACCCGGAAGAGGGGGCCCTGGAAGAAGGGTGCATTTGAACCTTGGAGAGGGTTCGAAACCATTCGACATGGTTAAATCTCCACTATTCTTACCGGTTAAGGATACTTCAAGAATTACTAGGTTACGGGTGTTTCCATCAACAACTTACCGGTCAAAAAAAAAATACCCCGGTCGGGTATGGGCACAACGGAAATTCGAAAGTTCCACAAGGCAAGGCAGATGACTGGTCAGACCAGGGAGTGGAACCTACCGGTCAAACTGTACTTTATCAAAGAATATGTGAAGCTATCCAAAAAGCCAAAGTAAAGTTCGGCCGGTCAAACTTTTTAAGTTGGCCAAAATGATGAAGACGTTCGAAAAGCAAAAATTGAAGTTTAACCGGTCAAAGTTACTCGAGCTAATCCTTCAGATAAAGTGATCAAAGAGAACTTTGAAGTTCTCCCGGTCAGAAACAATTGAGAAGTGGTCTGATTGGGCTACCGGTCAAAATTTATAAGAAGCAAGAGCAAAGTATAAATCAACAAGCAGGCAGATATGGAAGATTCACCGGTAAGGAAATTAAACATGGCATTTAAATTTGGAAATGTCAAATGTTTACAAGTACGCCGGGCATACCCGGGGAAATTTTTGCTAAAAGTTTTACAAAAATAACCGGGCGCAGCGAGATGCAGCGGTGAAGTCCGGATAGAGGCCAGGCCGTAGGATGCAGCGGTGAAGTCCGGATCTCTTCTGAGCAGTACCCGGTGAGAGGCGATCCGGTCCTTCTTTTGACCGCTCTTGAATCCGAAGGATCCAATCGCGGTAATCATCTTCCTTCCTTCAGGCTCCTGGTATAGAATCAGCCGGCCATTCTCTTCGTGAAGGATCCTTCCTGAAGGATCCAATCAGCCGGCCATTCTCTTCCTTGGGGTGAGAGATCTCCGCCCTCATCGACCCGGTCAGCCCGGATAGCCTGGCCAGCTCATCAGCTTGGCTCTTCAGGATGAGAGCCATCTCCTCCTTCTCCTTCTTCAGCCGGGCAAACTCTGGAGAAGAGCCCAAACCAAGCCGGTCAGCTGAGAGGGGTCCGATTTCCCCCGCCTGCGCAAAAGGAAAAATAGCCCGGTAAGAGTTTCGAACAATTTAAGGAAATAAAGACCGGGATAGCAGCAGAACTTACCTCCTTTAGCCTCAGCCCCAGATTAATGAAGGCCTCTTCAATGGTCTGGCCGGCCGGCTCAGGATCCGACCTTGCCCTCTTCTTGGCATAAGAAGGGTGCGTGGTGGCCACCTTCTTCATCCGTCGACCGGTCTTCTCCTTCTCCTTCCCCTTGGACCGGTTGTCTTGGGGCTCATCCTCGTCGAGGATTTCCACGGTCTCTGGATTGACCAGGAAGGTTCTGGCAGTATTGGCTTGAGAGCCCCCGGTCTCTCCCGCTTGTTGGTCGTCAGGGATGGCGAACTCTTTGAACTCCATATCTGCAAAAGAAACTAAAACCGTTAAGTACAAGTAGTTTGACCGGTCAACTACGAATCCCAAGAAAAGTGAAAAGTACCTGGGTGGTTCTGGCCCTCAGCCTCTGCAGTGTTGCCCGGGGAGGGTACCCCGCGCCCCGCTGCTTCATGGGCCGGGGAGGTACCCTCACCACCCGACTCCACCCTCCAAACCCAGCTGCCATAATGGAAGATCCTCCCAGTGAAAGGATCCCCGCGCATAAGGACCTCAAGATTCGCTTCCAAGTCTAGGGAGGAAGCCGGTGCAGCATACTCTTGGTCGAGGAGATGGTCATTCCATTTCAGACCGGCCAGAGGAGTGACGAAAGGGTGAAACTCGATAAAAACAAACTTTTCCTTCCATCCCCGGTTACTCTGAGGGACTTCGGAAATGAACTTCCTACCGGTACGGGCTTTGAAGAATACGAAACCTTCGCAGCCAGATCCGCCCGGTAGGACTTCAAAGCAAAAGAGAAAAAGACGCAAAGAGGGGAAGATTTTCAAATGAATACAGATATTTACAAAGGAATGGAGATACCGGTGGGCGTTAGGTGTTATTTGACTGGGAAAAATCCTAAACGCGTGGCATACTTCGGTTAGGAGGGGGCGAAGGGGAAAAACTATGCCCGCATCCAGTGATATGGTGTGGAACCCTATCCTGTCCTCCCGGTGGGGTTCGACAATGTTGGGCCAGTTGGGCTCATACAGGAGGGTATACCCATCTGGGAGCCTCCTACGAATTTTGTTCAAGGCGATTTTGGATACACGGGAAGGGATGTCAAGGACGTAGAAGGTGGGGAGCGGAAAGTAACCGGCAGCATGAAGCCGTACCTCCCACGCATCCCGGGTTTCGTTTTCAGGGTCATAGGGGCCCGGTTCGTCATCGACCGGGTCATCCCTCCCCACGAAAGTTTCACCGGGCATCTGATTAACAGGATGCGGGTCGGGAATAGAGGAGTGGGGGACCTGACCGGGCGTGGATTCAGGAGAAGAAGACCCGGTCGAGGAAGATGAGTTGGAGTCCTCAGAGGAGAAGTCCTCTGAGGACGAAATCCTATCGCTAAAAGAAGACATGACCGGGAAAGAAAGCAGAGGAGGAAGGGGAAACTTACTTGACTCGGAGGGCTGGATAGAGAAAGAGAAGAAACTCGACCGGTGAAAGCTCTGGAAGGCGAAGTGCGAAAAGTGAGAAGAGAAGGGGGTTGGAGGCCTTTATATAGGAAGAGGAGGGCTGAAAGAAGTGACGTGGCCTCTCCAGGTTGCGCCGCGTCAGGCGGCGTAATGATGACCCACTGGCAGGCGAAACGACGGGTCTGCAGCCGACTGATTGCAACGGTTGATGCGCGACACGTGGCAAAAATCAGTGTTTGAAATTCAAATATCAAAAATTTTAGGCGGGAAGAGCCAAAATTTCAAAATTGTATTTCAGACTTTTTACTTCCCGCTCATGACAAATTGCATGACCGAGAAGTGGAGGGCTTATTGATGGGTGTATTCCACCCACGACCGGTCAAAGGAGAAGACCAATTAGTTGACCGGTCAATCTCGAAAGTTTTGAAGGGAGACTTAAGTCGTCAGCAAAACGATAAATAATCGGCCAAAAGATGACCGGTATACTTCACGAAAAAGTATACCGGTCAAACTACGTTGTCATGTTATTTGTTCCCAGACTTCAATGAATTCATCCCTCGGAGATTACCCGGTGTAGTTTCTAGGGTTGGAAAGTGTCGGCAGAAGAGAATCTACGAGGGCTTGGCGTGTAGCGACCCATGTCAGTAGAGGACAACTGGAGATGCTGAAGAATCCATCCAAGGCACTACTCGACAAAGGGAATAATCCCCCTCACAAGGCGACAAGGCAGCTCAAGGACGAAACCAGTCACCTCGCACCACATCAGCATCGTGCCCCCACGTGGGCGCACGTGGTCCTGTCCCCTTAGCCTAGTATAAATACTCATGTAAACCTCAGAAACAGGGATCCGAATTCATTCTCTCTAAACTCCCTTGTAAAAGCACCCATGTATTCTCCGTTATAATATAAATTGGGCTACAGGTGTTCCACCTAAAGTCCTACCGGTCAATTTGCGTGTTTTACCTTTCTTACTTTGCCAAATCAAGCAAACTATTCTAGACCCGGTCTAGTATAGTTTGACCGGTCAAGTAATTTACACCATCAGCACCTAGCAGGCGACATAGTCATTAGTCGCATGTCGGGCCATTTTTCTACTTTTTACCACCCACAACTCTTTGTCCATTCAAAAAAACCAACCACTGCCTCAGATGTAATGCACCCTCTCTATTCTTCTTTACATCACCACAGGTGACTAGTGCAATAGGTTGGCGTCTATCGAATCTTCTATTTTTGACATAAAAAAGGCGTATGTCCAATAGTGTCGTCGTCATTCTGCATGCGTCTCTCTACCGCCTCTATCTCGTCCACAAAAAAAGTTTCATTGAAGGATCTCGGAGCCACTAATGGTTTGAAAAATCAGCCACTGCAAACGGGTTAGGCCAACCAACTTTTTGCAGGTTGAAACCGTTACGTTAAAGCTATATTATTATTCTAGTCTCAACAGTCATTCTCGTACGGTCACCACTAGCTCTTCCTCCTTCTGCCCCAAAACCCAAGCCTCTAATGGTGGCGATATTTTTCCTTCTCTAACGGTCGCCATAATCACCTATCATATTTTTTTTCTCCTTTTTCAATTATTCACAATTGTTATTCCATCTAGAGTTGCTCATCACTATGAATCACCATTGTCTTAAATTCGTATAGAATCATATTCCTTTTCTTTTACTCTCTCTAGTCACTCATTCTTCATCAATCTTCCTTATCTTTCTCTTCTGTAAGACCAATAAAACAAATCAAAACAAAATCAAAGTCAAAAGGGGAAAATTGAGAAAATGAAAGAATACCTCCACAAGTCATCCCCGCGCCCCAAGAAAGTCATAAATATTCTCACAATTGAGAAAAAGAAATAGGACATTGTCTGGATCCAAGAGAAAGACAAAAAATTATCAAGGATCTTGAATAAATTAGACACTTCCAATAGCCTTCTCTTATTCTTTGGCGTCAGCAGCTACAAGTGCATGCCATCTTTCTGCCTTCTTCAAATATTTTAGCAGCTACCACCGCACGTCGGGTTTCTCTCTCTTCTTCTTCGATGTTAGCACTTATCAGCACACGTCAGACTTCTCTCTTCTCAAGATTTTTGTTCAGTCAGAGTTAAGCTTGAGGGGGATGTTAGACAATAATAATTACTATTATTATTGTTACACACTTCACCATTGTTTTCCGCAGTTGTCACTGTAGCCGATGTTGCCTATTGAGTCGCGTTGGACTGTCGTCGCACTCAGTCTAATAATAATAAAGATCATATTAATATTAATTTTAATTTTAATAAAAGAAGAAAAAGGAAAGTCCCTCCCGAGTAACCTTTTAGATATATTAGGGTACCGCAGAGTATGTTTTAAGAATTATGCGACCCTAAAATATTTTAAGACATACAAAAACATTTTAAAATATACTTCGGGTGTACCCTAAAATATCCAAAATATTACTCCAAAAGGACTTTCGTTTTTCCTTCTTTTAATATTAGAATAAATATTAATATTAACATTGATATTATTAGAGTGGGTACGGTTACAATCCATCGTGACTCAGTAAGCAACAATGACGGACAGTGACAACTACGAAAGATAATGGAAAAGTGAATAATAATAATACTATAATTATATGAAATAAAGGAAGAAGGAAAAAGGAAAGGCCCTTGAGTAAGTTTTTAGTGCACCCTAGAGTATAAATTTTTTTAAAAATGAGACCTAGAAGTTCTTTCAACAAAATAGGGATACCTAATAGCAATTTTTAAACTATTAAGTAATTAGAAATATTAAGATAAAGTGTAACAAAAAAAATATTCTAGCTTAGATGGTCTAAAACTAAACTGGGTGTCTAAGACAATGTTTTCTTAAACTTATTTTTCTTATTATTTATTCTGACCAGATAAAAATCAGAAATAACTTTAAATATAACTACATTCAGATCAAATCACACTAGATTTGATCAGAATTATTCCAATCACATCAGAACTAATCTAATTGGGTGAAGAGAACAACATGGCCTAAGAGATTAGGTGTTCAAACCTGCCTTGGATAAAAAAAATTACAAATTCGCAAAACAAAAAAAGGCTGAACCGGTCCAAACGGCCGGTTCGGTCCAGTTCAATGCATATTACGGTCCATAAGACTAGACCGAACCGGTCAGACCATCGATTCACGGGTTCATGGTCCAAACCGGCCAGTCCGATCCAATTTTTAAAACTATGATTTGCATTCCAAATTTTGCTAGACATTCCAAGATATACTATTCACCTCCCTTACATGAAAAGTGCATTTTGGAGTGTCAATGGTAAAATCAGAAGTGCAAATATCATTTCCCTTTTGAGAATGAGAAACACTACTACTACAATCCAGTACAATCCCACAAAAGCAACTTTGAGAATGAGAAACACAATCACAACTGAATATAGTCCCACATAAACAAGGTCTTAGGAAAGTGTGCATACAGAGACCTTACTCCAAGAGAAACTACTTCTAAAGATCCCCAGCTCAAGCAACAGAGAGAGTAGAAACCCAACAAAAAATGATTAAAGACAAACTAAGGAGAAGGAAAGCTCAATATAACAAAAGACACATACAAATCAAATGAGAAAGACCCCAAGCCTACAAAGCACAAGACCACAATGACAAAACTACCCGACAAATATCTAACTACTCTAATCTTAGACCTCTACAAGCTCTTATTTAAGATTATATCCTCGGTAACAGCTAGAATTTTAAAGTCTTGCCTAATCACCTCCTTATGAATGGTGCGTGTAATGCATCGTTTAATGTAAGGATATACGAGTAACTTTGTAGAAAACATAATATGTTACAATTCCACTTACATAACAAATTCACTAACCTACATGGATAATCTCCATCCATGAACTGCAACAATATCATAAAAATACTCAGATACTAGTAGTAGTAAGAGTGGTAGTAATAATACACTAGTAGTGTAAATTCTTGGCAATGTTGCTGGTCTGTCATAGATCAGCCCCACATCTACACTTGGCCCTCTCTCCTTTAGAGTTTAGAGCACTTGGAAATTTTAGTGTAATCAGCAGCAGATTTGGAGGCTTAAGCAGAGCTGCACCAATCAGCCTATTCGGCTACACATTCGATATTATTTTTAGTGTAATATATATGTGCATGCCAGTGGGCTTCCAAGCCTAGGTCCGCCATTGAACCTAACCCTTGCGAGGGAGAGCCTCCAGGGTAGAATCCATGCTTAGCATGCATGACGAAGGAGACTATATGAAAACATAGTTGTAGGATAAACTTCCAAAGGAAAATATTCAGCCAGAACTCACAAAGTTACTTATCTCATCCATGACAGTGTAGAAGTAGTCATTGTTTGGCAACAGATAGAACCCAATCGTCGCCTTCTCCAGGTAAATGAGTTTGACCTTTTGCCCAGCCTTCTTAAGCCCATCAACATAAGCCATTTGCCAATCCTGAACAAGGTCCAAGCCCGCCACGACCACAAGACTCCTCGGGAACTTAACTCCTTCAAGGTTTATAGGGTTTGGACCAAACGGGTTGCATGCGGGATGGTCCCTATCCGCACCTTCAGGAAGAAAGGCTCTCCAATACCAATCTCGGTCCTGAAGGGTGACGAAATATTTTCCATCCAACCGTTTTTCTGACTCCGTTCTCATTTCTCCCCCAAACATTGGGTTGAGCAATATGCTCCCCAACACTTCTATGTCTGACTCTGCTGCTCTGAGAGCCACATTGTGAACAATATTGCCACCGGAGCTGTCTCCTGCTAGGTAAACATGAACTTTAGAGTCCTTGCTCTGCATCCATTTCCTAGAACTGACCCATTTGAGAGCAGTCCATCCATCATCATACGCTGAAGGATACCTATTCTCTGGTGCTCGCCGGTAGTTAACCGATACAACAATGGCCTTGCAAATACCCACAAGACGGCGACAGAGAGTGTCGTAGATTGCACTGTTGCAAGAAGAGTGTGCGAAGCTTCCACCGTGAAAGAAGATAATGACGGGGACCAAATCGGAGGAGCACACAGGGATTTCAAGCTCAGACAAACTTGGTACTCTTCCGTCCTCATACGCAGGCCTATATATTCGACTTATAAGGCCTACTTCACGATCAATAATAATATCAAATGAGAAGGCCCCGTCAACAGGATTTGCATTTGCCTGGACCTTGCGATCAAGAAACTCAGCCAAGTGG